CTCTGGGGAGACACCCCCCCCAAAAAAAAAAAAAAAAAAAAAAAAAAAAAAGAAAAGAAAAAAGGAAAAAAAAAAACCTCTCAAAAAAAATTAGGTGGATTTTTATTTGAAGGAGGATATTTTTATAACATTAATTATTTAATGTAATGCCTACATTAAATTAGATATGATTTTAAAATTCTCTTTTTTTCTCTACTATCAAAACGTTTCCTTTATCATATGGAATGATAAAATATTTAATGTTAGTATTTTAATTGAATGCTGTATTTTTCCCATTTTCAGTTGCCTTCCAGCTAGTGATTCATTCCGCAGTGATGTGGGCAAAGCAGTTGAAAATTTAATTCCTCCTGTACAACATAGACTCTTGGATCGAAAAGATAAAGAGGTAAAATTGTTCAGGTACCATTTATAATTGATAGTTACATTGAAACGTTTCCAGAACTCTCTATAGGTATCTTTTGGAAGCTAAGCCTTTGAGATATTTAGTAAAGCTTAAGGCCCTGTTTTAGATGTAATATATTTTAACATGATCATGATCAATTATAGGCACCTTTCAAAATGTATTTTTTTTATTTTCTTTTTCTTTTTCTTTTTTTGGAGAGCTTTTTGTTATAGGGCTCGTGTGCTCACCAGGAAGACAGAGAGAGACAGGGAGACAGAAAGCGAGAAATCACCCCCGGGGGGATGGCCATGCCGCAATCCTTTCTCCTCCATTCTCCTCTCGGGATCTTGGGCATGCACGCACACGTGCCTGGCGTGAGTTTAAGCCACCAGGTCCAGGACTCGAACCATGGTCGACTACGTGGGAGTCCAGCGACATAGCCATTACGTTAACTGCTGGTCCCTCAAAATGTATTTTAAAATAGACATTATATGTCTATGAAATAGCCTTCACCTTTCTTTAAGAGTACAGGTGGTCTCACACTGATAATATATTATAACATCCTCTTTGGTAAAACTCCTATTTGTGGTATAAGTTTATTTTACACTGTCATTCAGTTATAAACAGTGACAGATATAATTTTAAAAGGTCATAAATAATTATGTAATAATTTCAAGTAATAATAATTCATTACTTGAACAAGGCATTGCAGTATCTCCCAAAAATTATGTAGCAATTTAAATCATTAGATGTTAGAAGTGAACGAAAAATACTATATTTCTCTATAAAGAGGAAAATTTATTTAGACTTCTAAAAATCTGCTTAATCTCCATTTGAAGTTGGAATACAATAGCACTTTAGTACTGACTGTTCAAATCTGTGTTTTGTGTAGTAAGAAAGAAACTTTGGGTTTGAAAGTAATGTTTCGGGTTTCCACATCATTATCATTATAACCTTTATGTCCTGTTTTTTCTGTGGAGGGATGGTGAGGGGAAGGGAATTGTTTTTTACTATGAATATTTTTAATATTCTGAATTTATGCATCTATGTACAATTAAGATCTGTTTTTTTTTTTGTTCTCTTAAACTTCTTACTTTTTGCCAACCTGGATAATCAGTCTAGCTAAACTGAGGGATAATGACTTGCGTAAAAACTACACATAAACAAAAGAAGATATTTTTCTTTAAATATCAACTTTCTCTAATGCATTCTAAATTAAAACATACAATGTATATGTTAATCATATGTTGAAATTGTGGGATATTGGTTATTTCAGTTACTGTCACAACTGCTTGTTAAATATATGTATATTATTAATTAAAATTTTCAGTAATTTGAGAAATTTAAAGTAAATTTTTTTTGGTTGCTTAATATATGTAGTATTCATAAGCTATAGTGCTTTTTAGAAAATAATAGCAAATACAGTAATTAGATTATTTTGTTACTAGAATTGACAAAACTGAAGTCTATTACTGTTTTTAGGGAAGGATTCTGTGCTTTGGGCTGGTTTCATGGCCTAGTGGTTAAGGGAGGCAGATCTTACATAGTGACCATGGTTCAAAGCCTGATCCCAGCAACTGCGAACACACCTGGTGTACATGCTGTGCAGGCATGCCCCAGATCCTGACAGGATGGAGAAATGGGGGGGAAGGATTGTGGGGTGACCATGCTCCATTGGAGAGTGCTTTGTCTTTCTGGTGAGTGCACGTGTCCTCTGGCAGTTTTTTAAAAAAGGATTCTGTGCTTTGATATTTCAGTATTTATGAATGAATATTCAGAAATTTAATTTTAGGAGGCTACCACTATTTAATATTTTATTTTTAAACTTTTTGTTTTTTTTTTGATTGCCAGAGGCCTTGTGTTCATGCCAGAAAGAGAGAGTGCACAGGAGAAAGCATCCTGCAATGCAGTGTGGATATGCCGTGATCTTTTTTTCTCCATTTCTCTGTCTCCTCAGGATTTTAGGCACATGTACCCCCATGGCTGGTGTGTTTTTCGAAAGTATGCACCAGACTAATGAAAGGTTTTTGTTTTTAGTAGTTAATAGTTTACATATTAGGCTAGCTTTACAAGTTGATTATGTGACCAAGTAAAATGTTATGCTATTAGTTGAAAAAAATGTATTATTTGGTAGTTAGAAAAGTCATGACCTGTTTTTTTATGCAAAAATGTGTCATGACTTTCCTGAAAACTTAATAATTAAAATAAAAAATGGAGTCCTGTAGTTGTACAAGCTTGGTAGTTTATACTTTAGCTGCTATTTTTAGTGACAAACCAGGAGTTGGCAAAAAAAAAAAAAAAAAATAGAATTTTATAGTTCACTCCTTTGACCTTATACTCAGAGACTTTTCCTATTGGTAAAGAATGGCATGTCTTTGTTTTATTTATGTAATAATAGGCAATTAAGCGAATTTTGTTATGGCTGGTATTCAGTTTTATAAAGCAGAGAAAAAGTATCAGTGTTAATTTTGAAGAAAGAACATTGATACAGTTTTTCTTTGCTTGAATGTTTATGTTATATTAGTTTTGAATATTAGTTGACATAAATACTATAAAATTACATTAATGTATTGTTAAATAATCATGCTATAAACTCTTTTTTTTTTTTTTTTTTTTTTGCCATAGGGCAGTGTTCTCACCAGTGAAAGAGAGACAGACACTGAGAGGGAAAGTGAGAAGTCATTCCCTAGGAGCGATGGCCATGCCGCAATCCCTTCTCCACTCTCCTCTTGGAATTTTGACCACGTATGTACATGCACTCAGCATGATTTTTAAACTGCCAGGTCCAAGACTCAAACCGTAGTTGACCATGTGGGGAGTCCAGCACCTTAACCACTATGCCACCTGCTGTCTTCTGTAAACTCTTTTTTAACTTCAGTACTGAGGCAAAGAACCTAATGTCTTTATTTGAAAGAAAAATTTAATATATGAAATATTTTCATTAAAAATATAGCTATAGGGGCCAGTGGATGGCGTAGTGGTTAAGGGCGCTGGACTCCCACATGGCCAACCAAGGTTTGAGTCCCAGACCTGGCGGCTTGCTTTCTTACTTTCTCTCTCTCTATCTCTCTGGTCAGATTTGAAAAGAAAGAAAGAAAGAAAGAAAGAAAGAAAGAAAGAAAGAAAGAAAGAAAGAAAGAAAGAAAGAAAGAAAGTTAAATAAAATAGTTCTTTAAAAAAAAAACATAGCTGTAGAGAGACCAGCAGTTGGCGTAATGGCTATGTCGCTGGACTCCCACGTAGTCGACTGCGGTTCGCGTCTCGGACCCGGTAGCTTAAAACTCACGCTGGGCACATGTGCATGTGTGCCCAAGATCCTGAGAGGAGAATGGAGAAGAAGGGATTGCGGTGTGGCCATCCCCCCTGGGGGGCGATTTCTCGCTTTCTATCTCTCTGTCTCTCTCTCTCTGTCTGGCGAGCGCATGCGCCCTATAGCAAAAATCTCTCTCTCAAAAAAAAAAAAAAACATAGCTGTAGAATAATTGCATATTCTTTTCTTTCGGCAGTTGCTAATTTGTCCTCCTGTTACTCGGTTCTTCTATGGAAGTAGAGATTATTTTCATAAACTATTAATTCAGGGTGATTCTTCTGGAAGATTGAATATTTGGAACATTTCAGACACATCTGATAGACAGGATGGTGAAACAGGTAATAGTAAATTATGTATAGTAATTTATTAATCTTTAAAACTGAATGTCTTGAACACTTAATCACTGAATAATAAATTCATAATATACATGTATAATTTTTTCTAAAGTTTATACTTGTGGATAATTATCATTTTTTGGTATATTGCTGAGCCAACCAACATTATTTTAATGTTTATACATCTATTTTTAACCTGCACAAATGTGTTTTCTTTTATACAAAACAAAACCTCTCTAGGGTTGGAAATGACAACTTCTGTTAGTTTGCAAGAGGCATTTGATAAACTGAATCCCTGTCCTGCGGGAATTATAGACCAGCTGAGTGTGATGCCCAACAGTAATGAGCCTCTTAAAGTAACTGCAAGTGTGTACATCCCCGCCCATGGACGGCTCGTCTGTGGCCGTGAAGACGGAAGCATCATCATTGTACCTGCCACACAGACGGCCATCGTCCAGCTGCTGCAAGGCGAGCACATGCTCAGAAGAGGTACATGGTGTACAGAGGGCTGCAGTGTTTTCCGAACTCTTGAGCCTGTTATCAGAATGTGTCTATGTTTTGTAATGAACTAATGCTATGAAAAAGTGTATTTGCTAATGTGCTGTGGAGTTGATAGAGTTCAATAAGATATTCAACACCTATTATTGGAATTAATTCCTGTTAGTGACTATAAATAAAGAAGTATCAAATTTTATCTCTGATATATGTTAATACTTTCATCTATTATTAGTTATATCTATGGATTATTAAATAGTTACTACAGTACTGATAATACTGAGTCTAAACAGTGCTGCCCACTAGAAATCTAATGTGAATGATATCTATAACCATATATGTAATTTTTAATTTAATGTAATTTTTTTTTTTTTTTTTTTTGCTATAGGGTACATGTGCTCACCAGAGAGAGAGGGAACTTGATAAGTCACCCCTGCCCTCTCTCCCCCAGAGGTCATGGCCACATCACAATCCCTTCTCCTCCATTTCCCTCTCGGGATTTCAGGCACTCACACACACACACACACACACACACACACACACACGTGCCCAACATGATTTTCAAGCTGTTGGGTCCAAGACTTGAATTGTGTACTCAGCTATGGGATCCAGTGCCTTAACCTCCCTCCATGCCATCTGCTGGCCCCATATGTAATCTTTTAATAGGCATGTTAAAATGTAAAATAAGAGAGGTGAAAGTAACTATGATAATATATGTCATCAATATAGAAAACTATTTTCAACTTGCAATGAATATGAAAATTATTAATGAAATTAAAAATTTTTTTTTTACAATAAATTTTGAAAAATCTTTTGAGCGTTTTACTTTTGCAGCACATAAGAATCAGATTAGCTCCATTCCACACATTCAGTAGTCTCATGTGGCTAGGAGCTACTGTATTGGACACAGCCATTTTAGAAGATCGAATTAGAAACTTTTTCTGTGATAAAATTTATAGCTATTCTGGAAATAAATGTTTACTTTTTACTTCTGAAGCTTTGTAAGACTTTAATTTTCCCATTTTAAATCCAAAACCTCCTCTGCAGGTTGGCCCCCTCACAGGACACTCCGTGGTCATCGGAACAAAGTCACATGTTTGCTATATCCTCATCAGGTCTCAGCTCGTTATGATCAGAGATACCTGATATCTGGAGGTGTGGACTTTTCAGTCATCATTTGGGACATATTTTCTGGAGAAATGAAACATATCTTCTGTGTTCATGGTGGTGAGATTACTCAACTTCTAGTTCCACCCGAAAACTGCAGTGTAAGTCACTTTACATAAGAGATGAATTCACTGTGCTAGATCCAGTTTACGTTACTGTCAGTCTAGAGTAATTTAAAGAAAATGTGACAAGAGAATTAAACTGTTTCAATTTTTTTTTTCAATAAAGTTTTTTGCTATAGTGCACGTGCACTCACCAGAAAGACAGAGAGAGACAGAAAGTAAGAAATCAGTCCTCCAGGGGATGGTCATAGTGTAATCCCTTCTCTTCCATTCTCCTCTCGGGATTTTTACACACGTGCCTGGCATGAGTTTTAAGCCACTGGGTCCAGGACTCGAACCACAGTCGACTACCTGGGAGTCCAGTGATGTAACCATTACACCATTTGCTGATCCCAAACTCTTTCAATTTTAAAAGTAAAATAATAACATTTAGCCAGGAAAGTTAGTGATCATTTACTGTAGGGCAGAGGGAACAGGAAGATGGATATAGTGTTTCTTTCGAGTGTTACTGGCTCTTAAATGACATAGCTTGTCCCTGAAACAGTAGCAGTTTAGATTATTGAATTGTTTCAATTAAAAAAAAATAGTAATTTAAATATTCCCAAAGGCATTCTACAGTCTTCTTATTTTAGGATCTATTCCAGCAAAAACACAGTGAACATGTATTTTTGAGAGGAAATATGTGAGTAGTTACCAATAGAGCCTTTTTAAGTAAACAGTTGTAGTGACAAGGGAAGGAAGTATGACAATCAAGGATCATGATTTTGGAAAATTTCGTACATGTTTGTGGAAGGAGATTTCTTGCCTTTCCTCCCTCCTTTTGGGATTTTGGCCATGTACACATGTGTGCCTGATGTGTTTTTCAAGTTCTTGGGTCTGGGACTTGAACCATATGTGAGATCTGGCTACCTTAACCACCAGGTCTGAGGCTGGGCTCCAGATTGATTTTTTAGTGATATGTTTTAGTTAGGATATAATGTCAAATAAAAAGTTAATAATTTTAGAAATGGGAGGTGTTGGGGATTGGCTCTGTGGCCTGGTGGTTGAAAAAGAAAATGAGGGGCTGGCAGATGGTGTGGTGGTTAAGGCACTGAGCTCCCACATAGCTGACTACGGTTTGAGTCCTGGACCTAGAGGGCTGCTTTCTCACTGTCTCACTCTCTCTCTGTCTCTCTCTGGTGACCACGTGTACCCCATGACAAATTAGAAAATAATAATAATTATAAATAAAATTAAATAATTCTTAAACAAGAGAGAGAGAGAGAGAGAGAGAGAGAACAAGAAAGACAGAAGCACCCCCTATGGGGTCTCATGCTGCAACCCTCTCTCGTAGCCTTCCCAGCAGCAACATCATGGGCGCCCGTGCACGGGCAGCAGGTACGGGATGACCAGGACCCGAACCCCGATCTTCCACATGGCTCCAGCATTTCAGTGCCGTGCAGACTGCTGTGCTATGCTGGCTGGGCCTCTTCTCCTTCCTATTTGTCCCTTCTTCTCTTTTGGTTATTAGTTTCTTATTAAATCACTGAAAAATTGCTAAGTATGTACTTAGATAACCAATTTTGTGTCTTATTTTCATGACATAGATGCCACTGTAGTTGTGCGCAGAAGCTAAAGTATTCTTCCAAAGCCCCTGTCCGAAACTTCATTTCATAGCAGTTATGCTCTGTAGGGAAGGGAAAACAGAGAATTTCAACTCTGAGTGCACAATTAGTGAAATCTTTATTTTTTCAGTGCTAAAGTTGATAGTTTAGATTATTTTATACCAGTGTGGAACAAGCATTTCTGATTTGGTTTTTGTACCTTATATTCTTTTTTTTTTTTTTTGGCTGGCTGGAAAAAATATTTCATGATACTCAAAAAGCACACGAAATTCAAATGTCATATGATTCAAAATAAAGTTTTATTGGAACACATTCTTACTCTCTGAGGTATTATAGTAATTGCTATGGAGATTCTAAGGCTGTCAAAACCTAGAGTATTTACTGTCTGGTCCTTTTCAGAAAAACTTTGTCAGCCCCTTTGTTAGCACTTGGTCATTAGTCTCAGCTTTCCTCCTCATCCTTTGCTGTACATGTTACTAGCGATGCTGCCACGTTGGCAGTTTTATTACCTTATATTCTTCATAAAAATAAAACATTTTAAGTGTTAGATGGATTGTTGGAAAAAGCAAGATGGATTATTGCATAGAAAAACATGACAAATATGTCATGACTTTTCTGACGATCCAATAGTTTGTGGGTTTTTTTTATTTGAATTACAAATGTGATTAAAAAGAAGGTTTGGGGAACCAGCAGTTAGCGTAATGGCTATGTCGCTGGACTCCCACGTAGTCGACCGCGGTTCGTGTCCCGGACCCGGTGGCTTAAAACTCACGCCGGGCACGTGTGCGTGTGTGCCCAAGATCCCGAGAGGAGAATGGAGGAGAAGGGATTGCGGCGTGACCATCCCCCCTGGGGGGTGATTTCTCGCTTTCTGTCTCTATGTCTCT